GCAAACTGTCAGCTGTTGTCAATTTTGCCATCAAAGAGACAAAACCAGGCTTCACTTGCACAATTTTCACCGCATTCTCCTCAAAGCAATTTGATGTACACCTTGAGCAGATGCAATCTGTTCTCCCTTCCCTGAGAAATTGTACCGAAGATTAGCATCTACAACATTACTCTTGTTCCAATCTGTTTCCATAATCAAAACTCAAAGAAGTAATCAACCTGCAATGAGGTGTTCTGAAGCTGTCAAGTAAAACAAGATACTGCCCATCCAGAGTGAACTGTAAGCCACACTTTTCTACTGAAATCTAGTAAAAGTTAAAAAAAAAAAATGACAAGATTATTAGCAACCATCTGTCAGCATATGAAGTTTAGGAGTAAATAAATACAATAGATGATAAAGTTACATATAACAACTTACTTCTCTACCAAAGTTATCTTCTGAAAGTGGCAATGTCACTGGTGTGTAACCAACAAAAGAAGGGCATCCAGTTGTTGCTTCCTCAGTAGCAATCCTGTAGATAAAGAAGGTTCTCTCTTTTTCTGCTAGTAGACCACATGAAGCACAAATGGAGATTTCATTACCTTTTGTGCTCAACAATATTGACAAAACAGGCTTAGGGTGGACATAGCAACCCACAAGATGAATGCTGCCCTCTAGTTCACTGTTAACCTCACATTTTGATGTGTTCATGTCACAAAAACTTGTCTCCTGATTAGAGGATGCAGAAGTGTTATATTCTACAGTACTCTTTTGCCCATGTACCTCATTGTCATAATGGGCATGCTGTTCATCTAGGAATGAAATAGGTGGATTCAAGAAGTCTGATTTAAGCTTGCTTTGGAAGGTGCAAATCAGATCTTGATTTGGTGCAATCATAGGTCTGACATTGCTTGATGCACAATTCAAAGTAGCTTCCTTGACCTGAAAACCATGACAAGTTTTAGGGACACAAGCATCTTGGGAATTTGGGTATCTGATAGTTTGAGAGGGATGCCCACAGTACTTCTCAATTTGTGCTGAAGAAGTTTTCTTTGAGACTTTCTTCCTGGTATATACTTTATTCTGGACTTGAGTTGAAACATTATTCTCATCAGTCCCACTTTCAGCATTGGTATCTGTGACTAATACTTTCACAATATTCCCTGTGGCCATTGGTTCAGTATTGTATGTATCAGCAGATATAAGCAAAGAGTACTTGAAGCAGCTAAAAATGAAATATAGGACTAACAAGAACAAAAATAAAGATTAATGGATTTCCATATAATAAAATGGTTCAATATGCTGATAATGAATCAATTTAGCAAAGTTAGAACTCTTATCTTGCTCAAGGGGAGAAATATAAAACCTCACTTGAGAAATGTTTCAGAAGAGAAATGTTAAGTAAAAGTTATCTTGGAGACCAGTAAGAAACCCATCAACTCTTCCTGGCCAGGCCCCAACTTGGTACAAAAATTTTGAGAATGTTCTTACCTTCTAAGAAAAACAAAACTAATAAATTTTCCTAGAAAGAGTGGCCAAGTGGTGTTACCTTCAACATTATTACATGCTTTCTCTGGCTTCTCAATTGAATGGGTTTCCATCCTTGCTGAGTTTTCCTCAGAATCTGCACAAACACCCTGAACATTTTTGGGGAGAGCTTTCTTGCTAGGAGATGCACACCATATAACAGTCTCAGATAAATTCTTGCCATTCTCCTCAGGCCTTTTATTTAGAACAATGTTTAGTTCATTGGGGGAGGGAGCATCTTCATTCCGACTGACCTCATTGTGACAAACTGAAGTTTCTTGATCAGCCTCCAAAGTATTTGAAACAAATATTTTATGGTTATCCAAATGTCCCTCATACTGATCATCCTCAAAACTGTCAGGAATAAAGGAGTTTTTATGTTCAAGATATGGCGCAATAGAACAGGGATCTGAAATTTGAATGTGCATTTTCTCATGCTCCAGATTCTCAGTTGGGAATGGGACTGCAGATTTAACATTGAAAAAAAAAATGATCTAGTGATAAGAAAAAAGATAGCACGTAAAGTTATGAACTCTATTGCATTATAAGTTTAGTAAAATTGCTTGAGAGATATTATCAATAATATGGTCAGTGAAAAATGCAAAGGTTTCAATAATTGTATTCACCTGTACAAGAAGACAACGTATCCACTTTCATCCTATGTTCAACATCATCATGCTCAGAATTAATTGCACACGGTGATCCTCTAGAAGGGCGAACCACTTCCTTTTGCTTCCTTGAGGCCTCTTCAAGAAAAGGAATGGCTTGTGGAAGTAAAATTGCCATCATTGACTTAGCAACCTCTAGACCAACTGAATCCAAATCACTCTTTTCAAAACTTGTATTTGAATTGGATGTGTCTATTTCTTTTTCTTCATTAGATTTGATAACCAATCCATCAGAAATAACCTTGTCAGCAGCAGTTAAATCTTCCTTAATGCCCTGAGAACTTTTCTCCTTCTCACTAGCACTTGAAGCAAGATTTGTAGGATCATCTGCATTAATATAGTGTTAATGATGTTTCCTTTGAATAACCGAATCAATTGTAACTTATAGAGTTTATATACCTTCATCTTAAGGGGTGGAATCATAATTTCCGCAATTCCTATGCTCTATGACCATTTATGTAACTTGGTTAAGCTTAAGTTATTTTAGGTGTCTTTATGAGTGTAGCATTTATTTTCTTTTGAGTTCTAATGTGTTTAGAATCCTAACCCTCGAGGTTCAGGGAATAGTCTATGAGTCCCCTAATATCCATTTACTCTTCTTAACAAAGTAAGCTTTTCAGCAATGAATTTCTTTCCTCTCGTACCCTTTTGGCTTGATTCTTCTTCTTCCTTACCCCCTTTGCTCCTTGGCAACAGAACTATTGCTGCCAGCAGACTAAACAAGTTAAACCAGCATTGCCGCGTCTTCAGGTTCCAAACATTAGACACTTTCATTTATCCTAAAGTTCCAAACATAAAACATCCTATTTTTCCTAAACCTAAGAACACCAGAAGTGATTATAGACAGATTTAACAAATCTGTCCTACATCAGTCATCACTACATTGCTAAAAAGGAGGTAATTGAAAGTGATAAAGTATCAAAAATTAAAATGGGAATTGAGTATAATGAACAAAGTGAATAAGTGGGAAAATTACCTTGCGTCAAATCCAAAGTATCAGGCACACAAAGTTGTACTTCGTTGATTTCTAGAGAGTCCTTTGGAACAGGTGAATTGCCAGCTTTCTCTACTGTTTCAACTGGAAAACTTACGGTTTCTGGATCTGCTTTTTCTGACCTATCAAGCTGTGAGAAGTTGAGATTGTTTCTTATAGGGTAGTATTTAGTTAACTTTATAACCAAAATTTAGGATAAGCTTGGCTTTGACAGTAAAAACACCACCAAAGGTGGTAAAAGCATAGCTTTCGGTAGGTAAAACAAGTAAATATTCTACAATAGAAGATTAAATTGCAGTAAAATAGTCCAATGTGAAGACACAAATATAAAGGATTACTTGCAAGCTTTACCTCTTTGGATGAACCTTTAGATGCTCTGGTAGGAATGGGACTTTCTGTACCAAAAAGCTTACCATCCAATCGTGCACGTACAGCTCTTTCACTGGGGTGGTTTGAGAAATTGACAGATGTCAATTTTAAATCTTCTATGGCTGAAACACGATTATTGTCTTGCTCAACAGGATGCAAGAGCACCGATGCTGACAAAGCTCTTGGAAGATCATTAAGCTCTCCTTCCAAAGCAGAATTGTTCTTCGAAACTGAAACTTTATCACTCTGTTTCAGTTGTAGGGAATTTGAAGCTTCATCGTTGTAATTATCTGGTCGGGGTCTTTTAGGGCTGGCCTCATTCACTGACTGTCTCTTTATGCTTTCATGTCTTGCACTCCTCTTCTTTTTAACTTTTAGCCTGAACAGCTGTGATTGTAAGTCAGGATATGTGCTTGATTTTTCAAATAGATTGCCACACTCTAATGCAGAGGCCCCATTGCAGAAGCTGGAAGATAACAAATTAACTTCTGCTGTTCCATTGACATTTGTCACCAATTCCCGAAATAACCTTTGAACAAATGGATTTTTGAACCCAAAGAACTGTGTATCCCATGCAAAGAGATGAAAGTTAACTTAGTATAGGGTCTTGTATTACTTTTCTTAAATTGTCGTAGCTAAGTTTATGCAAGTGAGAAACAGTAGAGGAAATAAGAAGATATTAATACATAACAAATATATTTTCTGCTTGATTTTCGAACCCAAAGAACTGTGTAACACATGCAAACAGATGAAAGTTAACCTAGAACAGAGCCTGTTATTGTTTTTTGGAATTTCTTTCTTAGACTGTCCTGGATTATGTAACTGAGAACTTAGGAAATAAGAAAATAATACATAACAATTTTCTGGTGGTGACCAAGTCAAAAGTCAACCATGGTCCTATAGATTTCTCCAAAGAACAAGGAAAACAATATCCCAACACCATGCCAAAGGGCAGTCCATTTCAAATTTACTGAAGTTCTGCAAAAGAATATTAGCTTTCCCTTATCTTCATGCCAACTCCAAAAATTCAGTAGTCTCTTTGAAAGTTCTTCAAAATATCTTAGACCTTCCAACTTTATTTAAAACCCATGCAGGAGAAGAGACTCTAGACTTCAACTGGTTTACATCATATCTACCAGCCTTAACAAAGGTAGCAAGCCAATCTTTCTCTGTTATGCAACGAAAATGGCCTCTTTCACACAATGATTATAGCAGATCCCATCTAAACCTTACCACCCATTGACTAGGGTTTAAATCATGTCATGATGCCACTAGATTAGACCTAGATTACCATGTTTTTGATATTCATAAACCTCCTAAAATTCACATGTTTTTCTTCACATTAATGACACTTTGCTTTCCAAATAGGGAAGAATGAATTTGTCATTATGATGTTCATAGATGAAAATAAGAATGCGGGGTAAGACTAATTAAAAAAACCCAGAAAAGCTAGATATAAATCATTATCTAAACAGGACAGTAAAAGCACACATCAGAATTAGAACTTTTGATGCTGATCACTCAACAGAAAAGAAGAAAAAAGAAAAGGGCAGAAAAGCAGAAGGGGAAAATGAAATAGCAACTTCAAAGCTCTAAAATGGGCAATAAGGTCTACCTCTACACCATCTATCTTGCAAGAAAATCTCTTTCCATGCCATATCTTCAAACTTGGGCAACCAGTCTTCTGAAATTTCTCCCATGAAATATCTGGAGTTTGTCCAGAACATGAATGCCCATCAGAAGTTATCTGCATAAATTAGTGGAATCTATACTTCACCAATTTGCTTGAAATATGTCAAATGGAAAGCCCAGTTAGAGCAATGCCTACCCACCCTGAACAAAGGCCCTTTAGAACCTTCAAGAATTTCCATCTTATATGTGCTCCCATTATGAGCCCGGACAGCCTGGTAACCCACAGGATAAGGATATCGATCTTTACCCTGCAAATTAAAAAGATTGAGGCACAACATAAGATGAGACATTGAGCAGACAATGTATTCTTGTTAACAATGATACGTGGTTTCATATTCTCTTATGTGCCAGTTTACTAACTAGGTCATGAGCTTATACAAAATATTACTAAATTAGTAACAAACTTGAAGTCATTGTCATTCTAAGCTAATTAAATTCACAGCATTTTAACGTGTACTATCTTTTTTTTCTTCAAGGAACTAACAAAACTAACATCCATTAGCTTAAAGATACAGTAAGATCAGCCATTACAGACATATACATCCTGACTAATACAACAAAATATTTGACAGATTTTGAGTCATTCATGTGAACTATCAATTCGAAATGTTTGCAGTACCTAAACATTTTGAATAACTATTACACTGCCTGAATATTACAATTTTTTTCTGGTTCTTTTAGCCCTTGCTTATGTTCCAGATGACTTTAAATAATCTTCATCACTACCGTATTTTCTTCCAAAACATTCTCTACACATCCACATTATTCTTACGTTTTGGCAAAAACACTACTCAGAATGAATCAGATATCTTCACAGTCCATAACAAATATAAAATAAAAGGAATCCTGAAGGCTTCAAAATGCTAAACTTAAAAGGCATTAGAAATTGATTAAGCATGATCTCTACCATCAATAGTAGAATCAAAACATCCAAATAAATGCAAAGGAAAAAAAAAAAAAAAACAAAACAAAATAGCAGAAGAGATTCAAGTAAAGATGAGTAAGTGGTAGGCGCCCTATCGCATTCAACAGAGGATG